ATATATATATATATTTTTTTTTTTCATTTCTTAAAAATATATATATATATATATACAGGGTGTCTGGAAATAATTGCTAAATATTTCATAGGTAGAGCGGACTAAACTGAATCGAAAAATCCTCTACCATTTTATAAATAGTTAATGAGATATCCTTAATATTAATCCTTAATAGCCGAATACGCGCGCTCGCCCGGTCTACTACTGCGAAGTGTACTTGTCTACCAATCGCTTGGCGCGTGAGCCTTGAGAGTTGGGGATTGGCTGGCAAGCGTCCTGCGCCGCGCACACTGCCACAAGTCACCATAGTTTAGACGGCGCGCTTGCCAGGCTATCCCCGCTCCCCACGGCCTGCGCGCCAAGCGATCGGTAGGCGTATACAATAGTATTCGGCTATCTTCAAGAATTAATATCCCGTTAACTATTGGGAAGACTTACAAAATGATAGAAGACTTTTTTGTTCTTGAGTTATTCGCGAGTTAAATAAAAAGGAGCATTCTGACTTTGATTGCATTAAACTTCATTAAAAATCATTGTATTGCAATTAAAAAAACAGATTCTTAAAGCTGAAACATGCTCTATAGTCATGCTAATTTTTTAAATGTAAAGTATATAGAAATTTAAGTTAAAAATGTGATATTATTATTCTTATATAATCATTGAGCAATTGAAAAATGGATGGTAATATCGTATTTTTAGCTCAAAAATACATATATTTTATTTCTTTAAAAATTGGCAATTACACTTGATAGAGTGTTCCAGCATTAAGAATCTGTTTTATTAATTACGGTACGATAATTTTTAACGGAGATATGAGCAATCAAAATCAGAGAATGCTCGTTTATTTAATCCATGTGTAATGTATTTAATCTTTGGTAACAAAAAGTCGTAGGAACATTTTTTAAAAACCAATTTTTAGGAAAAACTTTAAAATTTGAATATCAAAATTAGAATATCACGATTCTTTAACTTAAAAAGTAACAATAAAAAATAAAAGGGATCGAGAGAATAGGCGCTGTTCAGAGTGCGCAAAGAATTCTCTTAATATAAAAGTTAAATTTATTGAAGAGACGACAGAATAATAAAAAATTGTTAAACAATAATAATCTTCATACGTTTCAATTAATCTTCTAACTTTCTTCAAGAAAAAACTTTAAGCTTTCACATCAGATAGTTAAAAATTTCACAACAAATATATTCTG